CCAAAAATGAAAATTCTGTCATCAATTATCTCACCCTCATGTTGTTTCAAACCCTTAAGGCCCTTCCACACTGAGTCCGAAATTTTCGTATGTTTTTTCGTATTTGTGATTCGGTGGCTCTGAATTGTCAAAACACCATTCACACTGCTTGCTACAGCTGCAAAAAATGCAGAAAATCGAACCCAATTCGATTTTTTTTTATGACGGACAAAAGTTTCGGAGGCAGTGTGCAAGTGTGATTGACATAACTTGAGGTCATATTTATTTTTTAACGTGCGAAAATTTTGGACGCGAATTTCGGTCTCAGTGTGCAAGGGCCTTCTTTCGTTCATCTTCGGAACACAAATGAAGATATAATTGATGGAATCTGAGTGCTTTCTGTCCCTCCATACACATCTACGCAGCTACCACTTTCATTAAGTTCATTAAGAGATTGTGAAACTAATCCATATGATTCAAGAGGTTCATTCTTGTGTTACGCAGCAAGTTTGAGCTTCAGCAAGAACCAATCATATTCATTCTTGTGTTACGGCAGGAACCAATGAGATTCATTCCCGTGATACCACGATACCACGTTTGAGATTCAATAAAAGCGTCAAAACCTCCATGGACAAGCAGCTGGTAAGATCCGCTTGTGTTAAAGAATTTATCTTCGCAAAGTAGATGCTGTGCTAGATGATTTAATAATGCATTAGTCATAAGTTGTGACCAGTAGCTATATTTTTTTTTAAACTAGTCATATATTAAATTAAAACATAATATACATAATAATGCGTAGCCTCCTCAGACCTGCTTGTCCACATACTTGGACATCACAAAGTCCAGGGGTCAGAAACTAAAAGTCCTGCCATATTTTTATTCCACCCACAGCAAAAACTCCAGTGTTAAATGAACTTTACTGGGAGTTTATTTGGATCCAGACTAGGGCTGGGCGATATATCGCACGATATTGTTATGCGCATCTCGTCAGTAAAGCCGGTTCCTTGATTAGTACTAAATCACCTTCACCTGCTTTCAGATGGAGCGGCATTTACTACAAAGAGCCGTAGTTCACTGACAAGCTGAGCCATATCGCACTAATATCGCGGACGTATCGCCAACGATATTTAATGCGATATGGCTCAGCTTGTCAGTTAACTACGGCTCTTCACAGCAAAAACTCCAGTGTTAAATGAACACACCTGGGAGTGTATATGAGTCCACACTCAAGAGTGTTAAAGTTAATGAGATATTTAAGTGATTAATTGAGTGATGATTGAGCATTATTGAAGACACCTAAAGCAGAATCACTGAAGAAGAAAACCGGAATTTCAGGTCACCATCATGGAGATGAGTGTTTGCTTTAGTTGGGCTCTTGACCCTCAAATTAATAACTATAGTTTTTGTTCAGCTGTTGTATCCGAGCCATACCTACCAGATGAACAAAGAAAAACAATGATCCAATGATATTGATTATATTATGACATTCATCATTTGAGCTAATAGTTTGTGATTAATGCTGTTGGTTACAGCATAACTGAGATTCTGCATAAATATCCAGAATTTGTGATATAATATAAAAGATTTCTTAAAAGTTAAAAAAAAAAAAAAATTGTTTTAGGCAGACACAGATATCAAGATTCAGTTAATGCATCTCAACAATGGTGAGGAACAGAATATTCAATTAGGAAAAGTAAATTACATAGACAATTCAGATCATAATTTATTCATACCGCAATGCATGATGGGAGCCATTAATGAGTTGTGATTGGTGGCAACAAGGATTATTATTGTCACCACGGTTGAGATTCACAGGCTGATTATTGATGTCTGCGTTTCTAAATAAATGCATTTGAAAGTGATTTGATCAGAACAATTTATATTAAATGTTTGGATTTTAAGAAACATACGATTTTCATATGCTGTAGGACCACTAAACTGTTGCTATCAAATTAAACAAGATCATCTGAATGAGTTTCATTTTCAGATCACAGCATGATTATGTCAAAACATAACCAACACTATCAGACCACACTTGTCTTTGTTCATTTGACTTTAATAAATCAATAACAGCAGACAAACAAAATTTAAACTTTAAGTATAAGGATCAAGAGCCCAACTTCAGCCCCAGCAGCCATATCACCCTGTAGCCCAAGACTGGTTGCCCACTGAAGCTAAGCAGGGCTGAGCCTGGTTAGTACCTGGATGGGAGACCTTCTGAGAACACCAGGTTGCTGCTGGAAGAGGTGTTAGTGAGGCCAGCAGGGGGCGCTCACCCTGTGGTCTGTGTGGGTCCTAACGCCCCAGTATAGTGACGGGGACACTATACTGTCAAAATAGCACCGTCCTTCGGATGAGACGTTAAACCGAGGTCCTGACTCTCTGTGGTCATTAAAAATCCCAGGATGTCTTTCGAAAGAGTAGGGGTGTTACCCCGGCATCCTGGCCAAATTTGCCCAGTGGCCTCTGTCCATCATGGCCTCCTAATCATCCCCATATACTGATTGGCTTCATCACTGTCTCCTCTCCACCAATAAGCCGGTGTGTGGTGTGTGGTGTGTGGTGAGCGTTCTGGCGCAATATGGCTGCCGTCGCATCATCCAAGTGGATGCTGCACATTGGTGGTGGTTGAGGAGATTCCCCCCTTCTATGTAAAGCGCTTTGAGTGCCTAGAAAAGCGCTATATAAATGTAATGAATTATTATTATTATTATTATTAACTAAAGCAAACACTGATCGCCATAACGGTGGCTTACAATTTTAGATTTTCTCCTTCAGTGATTCTGCTTGTTAACATCAGGTGTCTTCAATAATGCTCAATGATCACTAAATTAATCACTTAATTATCTCATTAACTTTAACACTCATATCTGCATCATATCTTCCATCTGAAAGCAGGTGAAGGCGATTTACTACTAATCAAAGAACCGGCTTTACTGAAGAGACGCGCATAACAATATCGTGCGATATATCGCCCAGCCCTAATTTCTAGTGCATTTACTTGAACTTCTGAGGTAATATCTTTGGTGTAACCCATTTGAGAAAATGAGAGGCGGCCAAAATCAGATTTTAAAATGGACTGAATAAAGGTCTTTACGGACTTGACGTGCGATGCCATGCTGACTGACATGAGCATGAATCACTGTCACACGCAAGCTCAGAGCACTATTGTAAGTTACTGCATGATAATACATTTTTATAGCAGAATAATAATACATCACGATACACAGTCTCACTTTTAGTTATGTCTTTTAACTATTATAATATTTCAAAGGGCAAAAACATGAACTTTCACTATTGGCTTTACTTCTTCAAACAGCTATCACTTTAGCGCAAGGCCAGTAGCATATAGCATTAGCACCTCAGCTCCACCCACGGCCCGCCTCTTTGCCCATTTTCTGTTATCGTGTAGACGTGTGGATAAACTAATATATGCAGGGTCTCTCTTCTGCGATTGGTTGTCTACACTCGAAATTCTATAATAGTTATAGGGTACGAGAAGTGACGCGCTGCCAAGATGGCGACGGCTGGCCCCGCCCACTTTAGGCTTCAAAAACGCTCTTCAGAAACATACGGGTGACGTCACGGACACTACGTCCATATTTTTTTACAGTCTATGGGTACGTCTCTACAGTGACCATAGACAATTAAGCGTTCTGATTGGCCGAGAGTCTCCAGTCACTGACCGTAGACTACCAATCAGATCACAGAATTTCGAGTGTAGACAACCAATCGCAGAAGAGAGACCCTGCATATATTAGTTTATCCACACGTCGATAGCGAAGGCAAGGTTTTGTATTGGACGTCACACGATCTGCATAAAACCCCAAAAAACGAGTGATTCGGAAGTAGAACAATATCTATTATGATTGTGCCCCTTGAATGACACGTGATTAGCTCGATTAGCCTAGCTCACCTTGTGGAATTGATCGCTGCAGAAAGTTACAGTCCGTACAGTATATAACCTAATATATCATATCTGACTCATACTACTCTAAATTACATTGTACCCCTTATTAAAACTTAATTTATGCATTTAATCTGACATACCACATTATTAAACAATAGCATATTCCTCTTCTTATGAACAAAAACATACAATGCATATTTTCAGAAGTTAAATATGATGATATGAATTAACTTTAATCAACTAATCATGGCTTTCATAAATTAATTGTTGATGGTGATCTGTTTTAAAGCAGTGTAATAAAGTTATTAGTTATATTGTGTAATTCTCATAACTTCTATGAACAGCACAGAATTGTTACAACTGTAGTCTGTCGAGACTTTGGTCAATTCATAAATCATGTTACTTACACTCACCCATATTAGGCCATGCATCGTCTAATGTACAATGATGTTTTTACATAATGAACTACATAGTAAAGATACATTGGTCCTTTATTAATCTATGCAACTGGGATGCTTTAAAAACACTGAACAATACATAGAAAAATGTAAAACATAAAAGTATTTTGTATATAAACTCAGTAACCAGTTGTAACAAAATAAAGTCACTACGAGAATATTGATTTCAAGACAATAACAGACTGAAAGACATGTCAAGCATTAAAAAAACTAAGCAGTGTTTACAGTTCAGAGCTGTATTCCCGTTATTGGGGAACAAAATAATGTATACACTTGACAGCATTTTATAATCATAAATGCATGGGATAAACCGCTGTTTTTCAATTATGTATTACATTTGCGTGACGAATGGAACGAGTGATTATTATAGTGACATTTTATTTAACAATTTCTGTTAGTATCACTGAACCCATAGAAATGTCCATATCCATTCAAATAATCAAATAGCTATTCATAATTATGCATATTCATTTTTGCAATAGAAACATTTAATAATAATAATGATAAAACTGATACCCAGCAGATTTCACATCATTACAGTTCGATAATGTTGCAGAAATTTAACGTTACACGGTTAAACAGGCATAGATCAAATGTAAACATAAGTTATTCTGCTACTCCAAATCATACCACTCTGTTCTTGACTAGTATATTAGGGAAGAGAGCGAACGCAGTCCCCCACTATCATAAATTCTGCAGTCTAGATTCCCACATTTGGGGAATTCGCAAAGGTCATCAAAGCCGAGAGTGCAATGGCTGAGTCTCGCCTTGGGAAAGCCACCGTTATGATCAAGGTGTCTCCAGGTAAGTATGAATTCTACAGCGAGTCTGAGGGAAAGTGACTTCAGCAAACACGAGTCTCGGTGACGGTGAGGGATACGTCACGCCATACGAGTCAACGGCAACTAGATGAAGATTCATGTTAAAGTTTCGCTGTTAATCAAGCTTTTAATAGCAGCAGCAACAGAAACAAAAAATTATCGTTTTATTTTGTGGCGAACAATTTCCGTGATGCAACACAAGCGTCCACCAGCCAATGGAACAATAGATGTTCAAAATCATATTTTAAGAACTCAATAATAAGAGTATTGGAACCTAATTCGAAAATTAGAAAGAAAGGGTTAAACAATTCACCTTTTGACACTATTTGAAATATATTGTTTTTCATCGGTTGTATTATTAAAAAGCAACCATGACGTAAACCACGCATCATCGTCTACATCACTTCCGGGAAATTAAAATAAGGGGTGCGCAAACCGCAAACAAACTCGCAGTAGCAACATAACTGGAGAAAGATTTACAGCCTATGATCGAAACAGGTTTCCTCTAAAAAATATATATTTTAGGATATTCTACTATTAGAACAATCATTATAAATATGTGCGTGAGCGTGTTGTTTTAAAACATCCGCCAGAGGGCAGCAGAAGCGCTCATTCATGCTAAAACCAAAGAGAAAGAGTCTCAGTCAGCTGTTGTGTTTGATGAACTGTCTGTGTAACACACATACGAACTCAAGTTACAACAGTAGAGTTTTCTTAAAAGATATTCTTGATATATCTTGAGTCACTTCAGCAGGGATCTATGACATATATAGACGGTTTAGGGTTTCTCTATGAGAGTATATAGCAGCTATATAGAGAGTAAACAGATAAATGTTCTCTGTAAACAGTGGGAAATGAGCAGAAAACGAGCGCTAATCGCAGACACTTTCTGCTTAAAGAGACGCAGATCGACTCGGTTACTAACGTAACCTCGGTTCCCTGAGAGGAGGGAACGAGTATTGCGTAAGCTTACGCTATGGGAAAACTCCTTTTCTCGAGAAATATTGAAGTCTTTATGTAAAATGCATTGCAGCTGCACAGCATACAGCAATGAGCGAGGCAGCTCGGTCATTGGCTGTGCTGCGGCAACTTGCACGAACCAATGACGGGGCGACTCTGAACCCGCTTCCAATGAGCGTGCTTCGCGCCCACGCGCGTCAGAGCCCGCCGAGATGGGCGTGGCCAAGGGCTATATATTGGGCGCCCCGTCGTCTGAGTTCTTTAGGTTCAATTCGACTGAAGCAAACTGACCAAGCACAAGCACGGCAGATTACGCAATACTCGTTCCCTCCTCTCAGGGAACCGAGGTTACATTAGTAACCGAGTCGTTCCCTTTCGAGAGGTTCCTCCTATTGCGTAAGCTTACGCTATGGAAACGCCATGTAAAACGCCGTGCGTGCTGACTTCGCTTCTATTAAGCCGGAGGCCGGAGCCTGAGACTTTGAGCAAAGTAATTATCCAACGAGCCAGCCGAAGGCGGGTTTTATAAAGGACAACGTGGAACGGCCCGATGGGCGTCCAGAGACACATACAAGCACATTTTCATGTACTGTCATGTATGAAAAATCCTACACATCAGTTTCAAGATGTGATTCTATGAGGGAGGAGACAATGCTCAGCATGTACACACCCCAGCCTATGATGGTTAGACCGACAGTATGTTAGAATGCAATGAGGGGACCTGTAGGTTATAAAACCTGATAAATGTGGACGGTGAGGCCCAGCCTGCAGCCGCACAAATATCTTGAATGGGTATCCCACTCGACCACGCCCACGAGGAGGCCATGCCTCTCGTAGAGTGAGCTCTGATGCCCAAGGGGCACTGAAGACCCTTGGCTTCATAAGCCAGCGCTATGGCATCAACTATCCAGCGCGATATTCTTTGCTTTGACACAGCCAGACCTTTAGTGCGGCCGCCAAAGCATACGAACAACTGCTCTGTCTGTCTGAACAGGGCAGAGCGTTCCAAATATACTCTGAGTGCCCTGACCGGGCAGAGTAAATTAGCGTAACTTTCGTCTGCTAGGGACGATAGCGCGGCCAAAGATATCACCTGTGCTCTGAAAGGAGTAGAGAGCACCTTAGGAATATACCCGTGTTTTGGCCTGAGGACAACCCTGCTGTCGTTAGGTCCAAACTCCAGGCAGTTAGCGCTTGAAGACAGCGCGTGCAGGTCGCCCACTCTCTTGACCGAGGCAAGAGCCAGCAAGAGAGCAGTTTTGAGCGAGAGCTGTTTAAGGTGCACAGTTCGGAGGGGTTCGAACGGGGCACGCTTAAGTGCGTCCAGGACCGTGGCCAGGTCCCAAATCGGCACCGAAGGGGGGCGTGGGGGATTCATCCTCCTGGCGCCCCTCAGGAAACGAACAACTAGGTAGTTTTTCCCTAGTGTGCGTCCTTCGACCGGTTCATGTGATGCCGCTATGGCAGCCACATATACTTTGAGCGTGGAGGGGGTGCGGCCTGCCTCCAACAGCTCTTGTAAGAAAACGAGCACACTCGGTACTTCGCATGTCTCAGGGTTCAGGTTCCTGGGTTTACACCAGTCACTGAACACCTTCCATTTCTGGGCATATAAGCGCCTCGTAGAGGGCGCTCGCGCCTCAGTGATGGTTCTCAACACTCCACTGGGGAGGTTCCCGGGAATCCGTTGAGGGGCCACGCATGGAGGGCCCACAGATCGGGGCGGGGATGGAGGATCATCCCGTTGGCCTGCCTGAGGAGATCTAGCCTCAGTGGAATCGGCCATGGGGCAGATTGCATCATCTGCATCAGTTCTGGAAACCACGTCTGGTTCTTCCAGAGTGGGGCTACCAGGAGCACTGCACATTTCTCCTCCCTGATCCGACTGATGACCTGAGGTAGCATAGCGACCGGAGGGAAGGCATACAGCGGGCGGCTCGGCCAGACTTGGGCGAGCGCGTCTGTGCTCTTTGAAAAGAAGAGAGGGCAGTGCGCATTTTCCTTGGAGGCAAAGAGGTCGACCTCTGCTCTGCCAAAGGTTTGCCATAACCACTGAATCGTCAGGGGGTGGAGAGACCATTCTCCTGGGAGAACTTTGTCTCTGGACAGCATGTCCGCTCCCTGGTTCAGAACGCCTGGCACATGCGCTGCTCTCAGTGAGCGCAGGTTGCGCTGGGAGCATAGGAGGAGCTCCCTGGCCATCGCGTGCAGGGAGCTCGATCTGAGTCCACCCTGACGATTTATATGCGAGACTACCGTCATGTTGTCCGTTCGGACTAGAACGTGCTCGTCCTTCAGGTACGGGAGCAGGGCTCTGAGAGCCAAAGCGACCGCTTTTAATTCCAGACAGTTTATATGTAGGCGCTTCTCCGGGTTTGACCACAAGCCGGAGACAGGCCTGCCCTCGTAAAGGGCCCCCCAGCCTATTTTGGAGGCATCTGTCGTGATAATTTTTCTCCTTGTGTTCACGCCCAAACTCTTTACACAGCAAAAACTCCAGTGTTAAATGAACACACCTGGGAGTGTATATGAGTCCACACTCAAGAGTGTTAAAGTTAATGAGATATTTAAGTGATTAATTGAGTGATGATTGAGCATTATTGAAGACACCTAAAGCAGAATCACTGAAGAAGAAAACCGGAATTTCAGGTCACCATTATGGAGATGAGTGTTTGCTTTAGTTGGGCTCTTGACCCTTATATTATTAACTTGAGTTTTTGTTCAGCTGGTGTATCCGAGTCATACCTGCCAGATGAACAAAGAAAAACAATGGTCTAATGGTATTGATTATGATAATCATCATTTGAGCTAATTGTTTGTGATTAATGCTGTTGGTTACAGCATAACTGAGATTCTGCATAAATATCCAGAATTTGTGATATAATATAAAAGATTTCTTAAAAGTTGTAAAAAAAATATATATATATCCTTGTTTTAGGCAGACACAGATATCAAGATTCAGTTAATGCATCTCAACAATGGTGATGAACAGAATATTCAATTAGGAAAAGTAAATTACATAGACAATTCAGATCATAATTTATTCATACCGCAATGCATGATGGGAGCCATTAATCAGTTGTGATTGGTGGCAACAAGGATTATTATTGTCACCACGGTTGAGATTCACAGGCTGATTATTGATGTCTGCGTTTCTAAATAAATGAATTTGAAAGTGATTTGATCAGAACAATTTTTATTAAATGGTTTGGATTTTAAGAAACATACAATTATCATATGCTGTAGGACCACTAAACTGTTGCTATCAAATTAAACAAGATCATCTGAATGAGTTTCATTTTTCAGATCACAGCATGATTATGTCAAAACATAACCAACACTATCAGATCACAATTGTTTTTGTTCATTTGACTGTTATAAATCAATAACAGCAGACAAACAAAATTTAAACTTAAAGTATAAGGATCAAGAGCCCAACTAAAGCAAACACTGATCGCCATAACGGTGGCTAACAATTTTAGATTTTCTCCTTCAGTGATTCTGCTTGATAACATCAGGTGTCTTCAATAATGCTCAATGATCACTAAATTAATCACTTAATTATCTCATTAACTTTAACACTCATATCTGCATCATATCTTCCATCTGAAAGCAGGTGAAGGCGATTTACTACTAATCAAAGAACCGGCTTTACTGAAGAGACGCGCATAACAATATCGTGCGATATATCGCCCAGCCCTACAATATATGGTGTATGTGCAAATGTATCAACATGCGTTTTCTAGTTGAAACAACAGTTATACTAGTTAATTCAACTTTTAGCTTAGTTGAGGACAATTAAACTTAAATGTTCTTGTTGTCTGGACAATTTCTACAAATTTAGTTGTGTCTACAAAAAAAAAAAAGTTGAAATGGCAATTATTTTTTACAGTGTGTAGTGCTCTCCTAGTGACCAGACTGACTTAATACACGTGAAATTTTGACAATACTTAATAATAATGTATTACATATTAATATAATACTGTAATTCACTAAAAGGGGTTTTGTTTGTTTAAGGTTGTAGTGAATGA